TGTTTGTATGGCACGTCTGATATGAGTACAATGAATCAGATCGAACGTATGATGATATGAATATGGTATGTCTGAATATGTCAAATTGTTATATAGTAGTTGGATATATGATACATTATGTATTACGTAATTAATATTTGTATAAGATAATTATATATTATATTATATTATATATTACGTATAATGATTATTGGTATATGGTGATTAATACATTACATAATGGCTGGCAAATGGTGAACTGTACATTACGTAATGGATGGTGATGAACTCTAGTATTACGTAATAATGATTTGTATAATTATAAGGTTATTACGAGGATGCCTCAAAGTATGCACAAAGACAGTACATCGGGAGTACGGTGTACTGTCTGAGTGCATACTTTGAGGTATCCTCATAATAACCTTATTATTATACATCTTTTTCTTCCAAGAATATATCATGAGAATGCCAAAATCCAAAATGTTTAGAACAGAAACAGCGAACTTCTTTGTGTGGATTTTGGTCAAACCCTGGTGGCAGCTATGTTTGTTTTTATTATTAGAGGACGCTTACGCTCGTAAATCATTCCATATTTGGAAAATACCGCAAAGCTATGGCACGCTGTAACTTATGGCGTTACGGTGACAGGTGTATAATAATGTGAATTATATAATACGACATGGGTAAGCCAAGTAATTTCATTACAGGGTGGGTTGATTAAATTCAGTTTGTCTGAAACCCAAGCGACTAAACTGAACATTTAAGGAAGAAGAAAAAATACGAAACTATATCTCTGGCAGCCGTAATTCGTGTTAATGTATGAAATGTACGATGTAATTCCCTTTTTTTTCTCTCCGTGTGAAACCCTCTCTTCTTCCAACTCCGCCCCCGTCAAATGTTTATATATAAACTCACATGGATACGTGTATGTTATGAAAATAGACATGCAAACAGTTAGTGACGCATGATGTTATCTTATGTGATATGCATAATAATTAAATCCGCCATCACGCATCAAATGTAATATAATGTACAATGCGGCATATGAGCATGCGCAGAGTAAGGTGATTATCCTTATAATCATACATGTATTTGGGTTAATATTTTTTAAAATTTGAAACAATACAACAGTAAACAACGCGGAATTTAAATTATGTTGTATTAATTGTTGGGTTATTTCACAGCTGGGCGACTATTTTGACAGTCTAAGTCAAGCTGGTAAAATAGAAACGAGACAACTTGAACGCGCCGTTAATTGTAATGTAATAACTACAGTAACCGCACACAATCTGGAAAGAAGATTTGGCTTTATTTTATATTCCCTCAGTATCTTTTCACTAAATCGGGTAAAATACAGCAATATATTGCACATCAAACGACTAGAAATAAATAAACGACTTTCAATGAATATGTAAATTATATTAACATATCTCACTCATTGTGTTTACGTCACGCAGCCATGTCTATGTCGCAGAACAAAAACAGACAGCATGGCTCACTATCGTCATAGATTGAAAATCATTGAAATTATACTCTATAATATATTTTTAAAAAAACACAATAAAATTAAATTAAATAGAAATCACAGAAATATACATATATTTGGTTCAATAAATATTTCGAATGTATTTACGTCAAGCGAAAGCCGTGTGATGCATTCAGATTACGGCTTTCGGGGACCTCTGTTTGACGAGTACGCAATAATTTATCATAGTATGTGCTCAATATTCACCGACAAAAACAACAATTTTGATTAAAGTGGGGATTTTACATACATTACTGTATATAATATATTAGTCACGATAGTGTCATTGTTACAGTGAATGTTCATTGCTATAACGAATGATGTACGATGATAATCTAACAGCTGGTTGATCTGTATGGCGATATTCAGACAAATAAATCAATTATACTACCCATGCTAAGTATTGGAAATAGAAATAATGTCCGAAAATAGCCTGCTGGTCTTAGCTTATTACATTTATAGATGAACATGTTCTTGTTTTCTTCCCGCTGACCGTTGTGTTGAGTGGTAAGTTAGAGTCCAATTACGGCCATGCATTCAGTCCATTAACTTCTTGTTAGTCCGTAATGGCGCGGCTATTTGGGGACAATCCTTCTTTCTTTCGCCACAATGCTTTGCGGTGTTGAAACCATTTCTGTAATATAACACAGGCAGTAACAGAATTACTATGTGCATATGCGTAAACAATGGCTGGTACACAATAGAACTAGAATAGGCATCAAACATGGCGAAATCTACTACCCGTTAATATAATTACGTGTCGTAGACCTACCTCGCAATCGCGTAAACTCAGTCCTGTTTCTGCGGCTAATAATTCCATGGTGACTTCATCGATATTCTTATATTGCTGGAAATTATGTTCCAATATTTTTTCCTGCTGTCGATTCACTTTCACCATCTCGTTCGGGGGAGATAATTTGGCAACCAGGTTGCGATTATTATGGTAATATCCCGATGAATTCATATCGATCGCAGAATCCGAGCAGAGACTTTCAGGCAGAGGAGAAATTCAGCAGAATATGTATCCGTGGACGTTGTTGGAGTGATGGGTTGTTTTTCTGTAGAAAGTAACGCAGTAGATGTAAACACGCACAGGTATAACGTTATGTTGTGCCGTAAAGCGGCAGTGACAGCTGGGAGTCAGCCACCCGTAATATTCACTATATCAATACACTGTATTAACGTGTCCGATGTGACACAGGGCAAATTACTTACGACTACAGAATATATTTCAATTGTCGATAATAATAATAGTTGTGACTGATATTAACTCAAAGCATTGCACTACGTTCTACGCGTTCAATAAAGGGCACCACCGTTGAATGAATGACGTTTGTCTTAATAGTATATTGACAATCTTTTCATTCCTTTCAATAGGCTAACACGACCTAGTAAGAAGTGGGTGTGTAGGTTATTTAGGTGCCTTTCACCAACAGTTCAGTCTCCCGTGACCTGGCATAAGAAAGTGCAATACAAATCAGAATCACAACAATAAAAATAGATCATATAATTCACAACAATAACAAATGACCATTCGGCTGCTCCAGCGTGAGAATCGGAATCGTTAAATAAATACATCACCTTCATACGAACGACAGGGTTATTATTCACCAAATTCTACTCCTTAAGACACCAGCAAATATTCCACGTAATATTGAAACTGAATAATATTGGAGCGTTTACATTTATATATATATAAGTTTAAAGCTAAAGGGAAGGCTACTATGTCATAAAGGGATGAAACTAGGTCAGGCAGGCTCAGGAAGGCACTCAGTGGGCCCACTAATTAATATACCCGGTCAAATGACAGTTATTACGGTCCCTGCAATAGTGCGCATCTTTTTACAGTGCCTTACGTTAATTTCACTGACAGTGGCCGTTAATAATGTAAGATTTAAACAAATATATAAAAAGAATATTATCAAAGGTAGAAAACTCCTCGTTAAATGAAAGTATGCAGAATTTATCCAAATTTCATTACGTCGCGTAAACAAAGTTGGGTCACCACATCACTTTTCGAGAAAAACGATAAATATTAATATAGCAGTGACGGACATTTTCTCAGTTTTGGGACCATTTTATCAGTGGTTGCTATGGTGAAGTCATTTTCTCAAATTACTAATTAGGGTGTATTGGCATACACTTACCTACAGTGATTGTTGAGTTATATTCTAAAATCTTGGTTTTAGAAACTGGCAATAAATAAATAATTCTTAATTTTTTTTGGCATAAAATTTGACACATTTTTTCAAAAATATTGTTGTATCGCACTACACTACACTACACTATTTAAACATTAAATATTGCCAAACCATTTTTACTAATTTTCTCAAGAAATATGGGTAGGCTTCTACCTATCCTAGAATCCAGCAAAGTTCACTCAGTGATGATCTTGTGAATCGCCATGTAACTACATAGTCGGCACAGAATTCACAGAATTAATTAGATATTTTGAAGTGTTCAGTATATCACCGTGGGAACACGCATGCGCAAACTGTCCCGTGGGCAAAGCCCGCCCACAACTGATTTACTCGTCTTTCTTTTTTTTGTAGATTGTTTGACGTCTCAGGATCATAGACTGCATTTACTAGTGGATAGGTTGACATTGACGTTGACTTCGTTAAGTCATTGTGACCTATCCTGAATAGCAAGGTTGACATTGGTAAGACTTTGTTTAGTAAATGTAACTTGCCCTGACTTGCAAGGCTGGCATTGGTTAAATTTAGTTCAGTTATTGTAACCTGTCCTGACTAGCAAAGTTGATATTGGTTAAATTTAGTTTAGTTATTGTAACCTGTCCTGACTAGCAAAGTTGACATTAGTTAAATTTAGTTTAGTTATTGTAACCTGTCTGACTAGCAAAGTTGATATTGGTTAAATTTAGTTTAGTTATTGTAACCTGTCCTGACTAGCAACGTT